GAGGCTCATCCTTATACAGAAAAGATTATTTAACAGCATGTATTGTTTTTTCATATGATACAGATTATTCTTAGACTCATTATATCAGATACATGAGAAGAGATTTTCATCAGACAGATGTCCCTGGTGTGAATCTGCAGTTGGTCATGCTAGACATGGCTTGGCATTAGTCCGATATAAATCTTTATCTAGGCGATGAGTTCATGGCATTTTGAGCTAAGGGCAAGAGATTGTGGTTAACAGTCACACAGTCTAGACTCTTTTTATATTTCTACAATCTATGCAGAAGAACTTCTTTCCTTCTCCTTCTCCATATTTCTAACTCCTTTCCAAACCTTCCCCAAAACCAATCTCAAGAAGTTACAGGCAGTGATCTCTCTCTTCTTATCCCATTTTTGCTGAATCTGTCTTAATTGCTTAATTAAGTTTGCTTTTTGTTCTTCATTTACTAAGCACCAGATTAAACTTGGAAACCTTTTCCTCTTTTCCCCTTGAATACTAACTCATCTTTCTCCATTAGCATCATATACTCCTGCATATGGCAATGGCTCATCAGTAGACTCTGGAAACTTAAACATACGCTCTTCCCTTCCAGAAGAAGCCAGACTGTTCCTTAAAACATAAGCAGGTAATGCCAAAGGTGCAAGGGCTCCGACGCAGGAAGCACAGTACACACACACCTTCTCTGCGGGCACTCTTCCTTGAAGCTTGTACCACATCTTACGTGAGAGATATATAAATTTATATATGTATGTATTGTGTGTGTGTGTGTGTGTGTGCGCGCGCGCGTGTGATTTCCCTTCTTATGTCTTGTCACTGTCACTCCGGTGGCCCAGAACTACACTAACTCATGGCAACCACAGCTGGCTGAGAAGTTTTAAAGCCCTGCGCAGCAGTATGAGATTAAGGGGCATGCATTTGACGCGTGTTTTACTGACGGAACCACCCCCTCATTCTAGCTCATATTCCACGAGCGTGCAGAGCCCAGCCAGAAGAGAGGTCTTCAGGTGCAGGAATTGCAACGCTGAGTGGTTGGAGGATGGACCTGGGACCCTCAGCAAGAGCATGATTTTAACTTTCTTATTAGAAAGTGCTGGATTTTAACTTTTTTTTTTTTTTTTTTTTTTAAATATTTATTTATTTATTATGTATATAATATTCTGCCTGTGTGCATGTCTGCAGCCAGAAGAGGGCACCAGACCTCTTTACAGATGGTTGTGAGCCACCATGTGGTTGCCGGGAATTGAACTCAGGACCTTTGGAAGAGCAGGCAATGCTCTTAACCACTGAGCCATCTCTCCAGCCCCTGGATTTTAACTTTTATTATTAGAAAAGTTTTGGACAGAGGCACCCCGGATTACAGCAGCTGAGCATGAAACGTGCGGGAGGATCAAAAGAAGAAGGCCACCCCAGGATGTAGTCGGGGTCTGAGGCTGCAGGGATGCCCAGTCTCGACGGACATATTTATTTTACAAATATATAAGGGGCTGGAGAGATGGCTCAGAGGTTAAGAACATTGCCTGCTCTTCCAAAGATCCTGAGTTTAATTCCCAGCAAACCACATGGTGGCTCACAACCATCTGTAATGAGGTCTGGTGCCCTCATCTGTGCCATACACAAAGAGAACATTGCATACATATTTTTAAGAATTATAACTATAGTCAATGTTTCTGCTCCTGCCTTGCCTATCCTACGCCCGATATTCCCAGAAAACAGGAGGAACCTGAACACAATAAGAGACGCTAGAAAAGAAGCCTTTCATTAGAACCAGTATTGCCAGGGGAGAGCGCGAACGCAGTCCCCCACTACCACAAATTATGCAGTCGAGTTTCCCGCATTTGGGGAAATCGCAGGGGTCAGCACATCCGGAGTGCAATGGATAAGCCTCGCCCTGGGAAAACCACCTTCGTGATCATGGTATCTCCCCTGCCAGGTAAGTATGAGTTGCTCCTCCCACGGCCGCGCCCTCCCTCACCACACACGCACTTATAACCGACGGTCACCGCCTTCGCCACGCCGCCTCGCCGTCCTCTTATGCCGCCCTCCGAGCTCCTCAGGGCATCCCATCCGCCCCACGCGGGACGGTCACCGCGCGGGACGCGCCTCGCCGACACCGCAGGACCGGCAGCCACTGCGCCACAGCTCATCTGCATACGCCCCGCCCTCCCCTGCGCTCAGAGGCTCCGCCCAGAGCTTCCGCCCAGTCTGCACCCAACGCTAGGACGCGTCCAGAGGGGCCCTCGCCCTGGACCTGCACGGGGACTGCGCGGACGGCCATACCTCCAGACCTTTACACACCAGCCCTTTTACACACCATCCGCCGTCCGCGGGCACCGTCTCGGGATGACACGCTCTGCGGGTATCGAGGCAGTGTTGACGTGAGCCTGTCGTTCCAGCACTAGGACCAAGGGTTCAAAACCATCCCAGGCCAGGTAGAGACTGTGGTGAGGCCAGCCTGGGCTACAAGCGGGCCGTGTCTTAGAAGAAAAAAGTAATAATTCACGCGCCCGCGCAGATAGCTTGCTGTGCGAGCCTGGAGATCTCTGCTCTACCCCAGAATCCACAGGAGGATTCCAGGAAGCTTTTCTCTGACTCCTATGCTAGAGAGCTCCGTGAAAACAAAAGAACACAACGGGGAAAAGAGCCCACAAACACTAGGTTCTTTCCTTTCGCTCTAGTTCAGTTGCTGCTGGGTGTGGAGGTTGCAGACCTTTAACCTCCGCATTCCAGAGGCAGAGGCAGGGGCTGGTCGGCAAGGCAGAGTGTAGGGCCCGGGTCTGCCCCTGTTCCTGGGGTTCATCTTGAGGACAGTTTCTGGTCAGCTAACTAAAGCATTCTGTTTGTTCCTGTGCGCCCCCTGCCCCACCTGGTGATTAGCTGTAGGGCATTGTTGACTCCATCTTTGGTGTGGTCATTTCCCACCTGCCTGGGAGGAAATCCTTGTGCAGCAGCGAGGTATATAAGGATTTCCCCAAGGTTGAATAAACGGCATTCGCTGATTTCCTCTCAAATGACCCAGGTCTCTTTGTGTGTTCTTTCAATATCCAGACCCTTGCCCGACTTGCGTACGGTACAGTGGCACGCGAACTGTACGGAGGGGGTAACACAGAATCGGGTGTTACAGCAGAGAGAGGCAGGGACGCAGAGGGTGCTCTGAGATCGAGGGCCTACTTGTCTACATCTCGAGGACCACATAACAAGATCCAATTTGCAAAGGAAAAAGAAGAAATTAGAAATTCAGCTACTGGTCTCCTATCAACCGCCTGTCCTGAGTTTGAGGCTCAGTCAGGGCTTATAGACCCGGAACACTAACTAAGAGGAGCAGCGATCCTCCCAGCTCAGCAGAAGCACGCGGGAGAGAGGACTCCTGCCTGACAAGAGGCCCGAGGTTCTGCCTTGGGACTCTGGGAATCGCAGCCACTTAAAGCAGAGTAGGAAAGACCAGTAATTACAAACTGATTTGCTCAGTGGCTTACTTTAAAGCACTGCTTGTACGGCCCGTTCCTCAAGCGTGACTTCACTTGCTGTCTGAAGCAGGGTGGGCTGGAGAAATGGCCTTTAAGGTCCTGTCCCTAACGACCTGCTGCTGACTGCGGCCAGGCTTTTGTTAAGGCTTGCTTTCTTGCCTGAGCCACCTGGTGGTGTCGGGTAGAAAATGAGAACAGGAGCTGGACCCGGCACTAGAGCCTTTTAGGGGCTGAACTGCATTCTGGGGACCTCTTCTCCCTTCGACTCTCATTGTCACTGCTGCGCTTCCATTTAATGTAAGTCAAACACACACGCGCACACAAGAGCAAGGGTTGTGTAGCTCAGATATATTTTGATGGGGATCCTCCTTTAGTCAATGCTGTTTCAGAGACTGGACCAGGTTGGGCGTGGCCTTGGTACCAAAAAGGTGCGTTTCCTTTCTCACACCTGGATGTTGGATTCGGCTCCTGTTTCCCATTCATACAGAGGACTGTGATCTGTAAGTCAGTCCCCCCTTTAAATAAAGAACCCCTTATTTTAGCAATTTGGAGCTTTATTCGCGTTTTCCTTCTGGCGCTCCCGACGTAGGTGCAAGCCAATATATAGGTAGATTAGTGTGAGCTTATTACACTTATAGCAATAGTGAGCAATAGTGAATACTTGTGAGCTATTATTTATTTATTATTATTAATTTTTTTTTTTTTAGTTTTTCGAGAAAGGGTTTCTCTGTAGCTTTGGTTCCTGTCCTGGAACTAGCTCTTGTAGACCAGGCTGGCCTAGAACTCACAGAGATCCGCCTGCCTCTGCATTCTGAGTGCTGGGATTAAAGGCATGCGCCACCACTGCCTGGCGTGAGCTATTATTTATAGTAAATTTACATTGGTATAAATTTTGTATATTGATACAGATTCAAGTTATATTTGTTATATTGAATATGCTCCTGTTTTGACAATATTTGTACACCTATGCAAAGTTATTTTGTCATACACCTGTTTAAGACATTTTGTATATTAATACAATCTTAGGATGGATTTATCATATTCCATTACACATTTCTACCTCTGATCAAGATACACATGGTTTATATTTAGAGACCATTGTCCTCATTTACTGCACCATTGCTTAAGATGGTTTAATATTCTAATATAAAATCTTAGTCTTTAGGGGGCTGGAGAGATGGCTCAGTGGTAAAGAGCATTGCCTGCTCTTCCAAAGGTCCTGAGTTCAATTCCCTGCTCTTCCAAAGGTCCTGAGTTCAATTCCCAGCAACCACATGGTGGCTCACAACCATCTGTAATGGGGTCTGGTGCCCTCTTCTGGCCTGCAGATATACACACAGACAGAATATTGTGTACATAATAAATAAATAAATTAAAAAAAAACAGGTCTGTAAAAAAAATAAATAAAATCTTAGTCTTTAGATTATACAGGTATTAAGTATTCTAGGTCAATAGTCATCCATGTTTGTCATACTCATAGTTCTTTAGATACATAGGGATTGTATTTCACATAGACAGGTAACCACTCCAAAACACTGTAGAACATGGCATTTAATTAACTTAGGGTTTTGCCTTGAAACACGACTGCTCCTGGCAGCAATGATCTATTCCAAAAAAAAAAATGTTGAGCACCGGGGAAACCATGTATCTGCCAGAGAAGAAAGATGGCAGTTGCTAGATGGAACCTTGCCGGTAGGCCTCGAGACCTAGACAAGTAGGCCCTCGATCTCAGAGCTCCCTCTCGTCCCTGCCTCCCTCTGCCTTGCCGACCAGCCCCTGCCTCTGCCTCTGGAATGTGGAGGTTAAAGGTCTGCAACCTCCACACCCAGCAACAACCGAATTAGAGCGAAAGGATTGCTTGTGGGCTCTTCCCCCCCCACCCCCCGTTGTGTTGTTTTGTTTGTTTTCACGGAGCTCTCGAGCATAGGAGTCAGAGAAAAGCTTCCTGGAATCCTCCTGTGGATTCTGGGGGTAGAACAGAGGTCTCCAGGCTCGCACAGCAAGCTATCTGCGCGGGCGCGCGAATTATTGTTTTTTCTTCTGAGACACGGCCCGCTTGTAGCCCAGGCTGGCCTCACCACAGTCTCTACCTGGCCGGGGATGGTTTTGAACCCTTGGTCCTAGTGCTGGAACGACAGGCTCACGTCAACACTGCCTCGATACCCCAGCGTGTCATCCCGAGACGGTGCCCGCGGACGGCGGATGGTGTGTAAAGGTCTGGAGGTGTGGCCGTCTGCGCAGTCCCCGTGCAGGTCCAGGGCGAGAACCCCTCTGGGCGCGTCCTAGCGTTGGGTGCAGACTGGGCGGAAGCTCTGGGCGGAGCCTCTGAGCGCGGGGGAGGGCGGGGCGTATGCAGATGAGCTGTGGCGCAGTGGCTGCCGGTCCTGCGGTGTCGGCGAGGCGCGTCCCGCGCGGTGACCGTCCCGCGTGGGGCGGACTGGGAATGTCCGTGAGGAGCTCGGAGGGGGGCATGAGAGGACGGCGAGGCGGCGTGGCGAGGGCGGTGACCGTCGGTTATAAGTGCGTGTGTGGTGAGGGAAGGCGCGGCCGTGGGAGGAGCAACTCATACTTACCTGGCAGGGGAGATACCATGATCACGAAGGTGGTTTTCCCAGGGCGAGGCTTATCCATTGCACTCCGGATGTGCTGACCCCTGCGATTTCCCCAAATGCGGGAAACTCGACTGCATAATTTGTGGTAGTGGGGGACTGCGTTCGCGCTCTCCCCTGGCAATACTGGTTGAAAAATAGTTTCTTTGGAATTGGCACAGATTCCTGGTTACTTTCCTTAGCATTTGCTGGCATCTCAGTAGGGATACTATTTTGCTGCTGGTCGTTTTTTTATATAGGCGGCACTATATATCATTCCTGAGAAGTTGTCTTTAGTTTCTGTGGAATACTTGTGTAGCCAGTGCTCTCAGCCGCTAACCACGGAAGGTTAGACGACACACCATCTGGGACATAACTCTGAGGCTCCAAGGCAGCTCACTATTAGAAGCAACCCAACCAACCTTCACAAACAAGAAAAAAAAAGCATTAATGGCTTTTGCCTGGGACTGGATTAAGAATACTGTTCTTCCAGAGGATCTAGGTTCAATTAATTCTCAGCACACGCACGTCAGCTCACAACCCTTTGTGACTCCCAATTCTAGGCTCTCCAACACCCTCTTCTAGCCGCTGTGCACATGTGGTGCAAAGGCGTCCATGCAAGCAGGCAAAACATCCATACACACAAATATTTTTATAAATTTGGAGTCAGACTTTTCTTTGGTCTGCCAGCTCATAAATAACAAGGAGACAATAATTGTGAAAGCTCGGCCTATAGCTTAGATAACTTTATATAACTTAACCTCTTATATAACTTAACCACACATTTATATATTAATCTACGTTCTACCACTTGGCATCTCCTTGTACCTCCTGTTCGCTCCCAGTGTCTCCTGGCATCTCCCGTGTGCCTCTTCCTTTGTCTTCCCGGAAAACCCTATACCTCCTCCTGCATATTCAGCTTATTACACCAACCACAGCAAATACATCTTCACGCAGTACATAAAAAATCCCACAACAAAAACTCAAGAAAATTAAACTACAATTGATGATGCCCTTTTTATTATTTACTTTCCCTGTAGATTTTCCACGTAGCCCAGACTGGCCTGGAAATAGTATAACCTCTTCTCAGGCCCTCATCTCTCTTCTTCCTTCCTTTTTCTTTTTTTTTTTTTAAATATTTATTTATTATGTATACAATATTCTGTGTGCATGCCCGAAGACCAGAAGAGGGCACCAGACCTCTTTACAGATGGCTGTGAGTCACCATGTGGTTGCTGGGAATTGAACTCAGGACCTTTGGAAGACCAGGCAACGCTCTTAACCACTGAGCCATCTCTCCAGCCCTTCCTTCCTTTTTCTCTCCCTTTCTTTCCTTTCTTCTTTCTTTTCTTCCTCCATATCTCTCCCTTTGTCTCTCTCGCCTTTTCTTTTCTTTTTTCTGTGTGTGTTAGAAGGTGTCTCAGAGTTCCTAACTGGCCTGAACTCTATGCAGACCGGCCTTACACTGGGCTCAGAGAGTCACCGAGATCCACCAGCCTCTGTCTCCAAAACCCACTAAAGCTGAGTTCAGCACTTGAAACTCACATGGTGAAAGGAGCAAATGGATTTCTACAAGATATCCTCTGGCACATCTACCCACCCACACCAAAAATGCGGGAAAATTTAATGTAGGATTCGTGTTTCAATTAATAAAATAAAGGATCCTTATGCTCTAGTTTTGGTGGAGGGATGTTGTGATAGATTCACGCAGAACATGGTTTAGCATTGCTGACCACGGGCAGAGGAGATAGCAGATCCAACAGGAGCGCCACGCACCTGCTGCCTAGAATTCAAAGCCATGACAGGTTCCAAAGTTACAGCGAAATCTTGTCTCGAAAAAGAAGTATCAAATACATATATGGGTGTTTTGCCTGCATGTATTCCTGTGCAGTGCCCACCGAGGCCAGAAGAAGGCATCGGATCCCCTGAAACAGTGCATTGTGCGCGGCTATGTGGGTGCTGGGAATCGAATCCAGGTCCTGTGGAAGAGCGGTTCTTAACCACGAAGCGTCTTGCGCATACACGTCTTGCGAGGTGTACAAGGTTGCACCGCGGACAGCACGCAGTTTCACAGCTCTCCTCCCGTGCAGACAGTCCTTACAGTCGCCTGAGTTCCCGGAATCTTGGGGTGGGGAGGGTGCTGTAGATCATGCATCTGCAGTTGAGTGCTCACAGTTACGTACTGTCAACGTTTTGACGAGTTGTGGATCTCTGCACTAACTGCTACGTCAACGTGCAGCGGAGAAATCCTCCAACCAGACAGCTGAGAACAGCACGGATCTTCTGTGTATGAATATGCAGTTGGACGGCAATGACCATTTAGCACAAGTTATGTGAGGGGAGTGTATATTGCCAGAGACGGCAAAGCATAGCCTTCTATGCGCGGTTCCTGAGATGCAGGAAGCAGTTCCCTCCAGGCAACCCAGCTGCAGCTAAATGAGCGTGTTACTAGCGGGCCAAGGAGAGAACACCTGAGCCCTGAGGACGGCTTCTACGGAGTCCGCCTATGCAGATGATCTGGCTATAGCAATACTTCTATTAGTATACTTGTTCTTCATGTTCTTTTTTCCGTCCACACCGGTGGCTTCTGGAATGGATGTGCTGTACCGCATTAAAGCTGTAAAGGGGGGCTGGAGAGATGACTCAGAGGTTAAGAGCATTGCCTGCTCTTCCAAAGGTCCTGAGTTCCCAGCAACCACATGGTGGCTCACAACCATCTGTAATGGGGTCTGGTGCCCTCTGCTGGCCCGCAGGCATACATGTAGACAGAATATTGAATACATAATGAATAAATACTTAAAAAAAAAAAGCTGTAAAGGTGGGATGTAACATGAAGGGTGGCTCGCTTGTTGTGGTTTCTGTCCCGCCTTCCTGGCCAATCAGCGTTAATTTAAAACATGATTGACAGAATACAAACAATTCTCCTGCACCAGTGGGGGGAAATCTGAGTAGTAAAAGAATTGAGGAAATTGGGGAAAACGCAGAAATTGTTCTTTGCCTGCCTGATTATGAAACTTGGCAAAAAATTATACTGAAACAGAAAGGCACTTGTTTGTGACGAATAAAGTTTCTGAAGAACCTAGGACTTCGGGGTTGTGAGGAGGAACAATGGGAAATGTGCCACGATGGAGTAAAACCCACTTATCTGTGCCTCTGTGAACCGCGAGTAGTTTTAAGCCTCTGAGGTTAAAGAATTTGTTTATTAACTCAGCTAAGAATTAAGAATATAGTAACTGGTATGGGGCTTGGGAACTGGGGAAGCATGATGAATGATGATGTTCTGATTTCAAGGAATCCCTGTATTTTTTTTTTTTGTGAACTGCTTTGTTCATGTAACGATTAACCTGTAGCGAGAAAAGACAATTTCTTTGTGCAAAATTTATACACACACACACACACATTTCTGACAACCTTGGTGAAATTCACTGGCTCAGAGTAAATGATGCCTGTCTCAGGATTTCTACTGCTGTGATAAAACTCCACGGGCAGCGGTGGGTGGCCCTTTAACCTCAGCATTCAGGGGGCAGAAGCCAGCAGATCTCTGAGTTTGAGGCCAGCCTGGTTTACAAATCGAGTTCCAGGACAGCTAGGGCTGTTACACAGAGAAACCCTATCTCAAAAAAAAAAAAAAAAAAAAAAAAAGCAAGCAACCCCCCCCTCCAAAAAAACCACCCAAAGCGAGAAAGAGCAAAAGCCACACAGCAAGATCTTATAAAGGCATTTTCTTGATTGAAGTCCCTCCCTTCCAGTGAGTGACTCTATCTTGTGTCAAGCTGACATAAATATAGCGAGTATACCAGGCTAGCATTGAATTCACCATTGATCCTGCACCGTTTGAGTGCTGCTGAGATTAAACTGACTTTCTGTCAACTCGACAGGAGTCAACAGAGAGGAGGGAAGCTCAGTTGAGATACTGCTTCTATAAGATCAGCGATAGGCAAGAGAGCCGGAAGAGCATTTCTTTATTATGTATACAATATTCTGTCTGGATGTCTACAGGCCAGAAGAGGATACAGAAGGTTACGAGCCACCATGTGATTGCTGGGAATTGAACTCAGGACCTCTGGCAGAACAGCTAATGCTCTTAACCTCTGAGCCATCTCTCCAGCCCCGGAAGAGCATATCTTAATGGCGAATGTGGGAATACCCAGCCCGTTGTGGGCAGTGCCACCCCTGGGCTGGTGGTCCTGGGTGATGTAAGAAAGTAGTCTGAGCACGTCTCTACGGCCTCTGCTTTAGTTTCTGCCTCCAGATTTCTGCCTTGAGTTCCTGCTCTGACTTCCTTCAACAGTGATGGACTTGTCTTATCTCGAGTACGGTGGAACGGCATTTTCTTAATTAGCATACCTGGGCTGTTGGTCCTGGAGTCTGTAAGAAAAGCAGGCTGACCTGAGCAGCGATGGTGCGCGCCTTTAATCCCAGCTTGATTTCCAGCCCAGCCTTGTGTACCGGCTGAGTTCCAGGACAATCAGGAACGCCTCACAAGGAAACCATGTCTCAGCAAAGCAAAAAACCAAAAAAAGAGAAGAAAAAGGAGGAAGGCGAGAAAGCTTGAGTAATCCACGGGGGAAGCCAGCAGGTACACAGTACCCGTCCACGGTCTGCATCATTTCCAAGTACCAGGCTCCTCTCCCGCAGGGAGCTACACTAACAGCGGGGAAGTTACGCAACCTCATTCCACAGGACAACGAATACAAAGAAAACAACCAAAAGTTACCAAAGCAGTAAATATAAATTCTTTCTTTCACAACCCGCGTTACCAGGGGAGAGCGCGAACGCAGTCCCCCACTACCACAAATTATGCAGTCGAGTTTCCCGCATTTGGGGAAATCGCAGGGGTCAGCACATCCGGAGTGCAATGGATAAGCCTCGCCCTGGGAAAACCACCTTCGTGATCATGGTATCTCCCCTGCCAGGTAAGTATGAGTTGCTCCCCCACGGCCGCGCCTTCCCTCACCACACACGCACTTATAACCGACGGTCATCGCCCTCGCCACGCCGCCTCGCCGCCCTCTCATGCCGCCCTCCGAGCTCCTCACGGACATTCCCCCGTCCGCCCCACGCGGGACGGTCACCGCGCGGGACGCGCCTCGCCGACACCGCCCGACCGGCAGCCACTGCGCGATACCTTTTCTGCA